TTGATGGGGACAGGCAGCAACAGTGTTGGATTGTAAACATTTCAATAGAGGCTGTAACTCTGCAAGAGAGAAGATTTTATTCAATGGAGGCCCTAATTGTTGCCAGACCATTCATTTCGACAACAATCTTACCATAAAATTCTATGTGCATTGAATGTATTTCACGGATGTTATTAGTCTTCCTTTTGTAGATAACTCAAAGCCCTGAGACTGCTGCTGGGCCCCGCCATCTTGAATGTGATATCAGCAGCCCCAGTAGACTCAAATTACACTCTGTAGTATTTCCCTTCTCTCCCTTAACCCTTTCACTGCCAAGGCCTCCGGAACATTTTTCAAATCAGCTGGCCAAGCCATTTTTGAATTTTCTGCAATTTTTTCCTATTGATTTGATTTTCAACTGCTGCGTTGCTAGCGTTTGTAAAAGACCCCCCAAACCATATATTTTCTGAAAGCATCTCTTTGTTTGTACTGGTTTTCTTAAGCTTAACAAATGTTTAGCTTAACAAATGGCACTAGATTATATGTATGTCAAGCTGTATGCCTAGCCATGTGATTGTGATTATGACTTTGGATTACTGTGAACTGTTCAAGGTACTCTGTGAAACACCCAACAGTTGACATCATATAGATGTGAAGTAAAAATGAAATAAACCTGATCAGTACTCTTAACCTATATAAATTTAATGGTTTTTACCATTTTTCTCATTCAAGACTATTGATGTCGAGATTGAAAATGTGAGACCTAGACCTCAGGGATCATCACCTGTATATGAATATGCTGTAAATGAGTATTATATAGACCCGGAGGTAAGCAAAACATTCAGAAACGTATTTAGTAATGTAGTCAATCACCTTTGTGGATGTGGTCTATTGCAATGTCCAAATGATTCACAATATTACTACAAGAGAATGTATAATGCTTTGTAATTGTTAACAAATGCCAAAAGCACAGGATGAATAAAAAGCTTTTAGCATGTTAGCTATAGAGCTCTGCACTTCCTGTCCTGTGTTATAAATGCCAGTGAGATTATGTAAACTAGAAGCTTCCTGGAAAGAAAAGCCACTGCTATTACTGTACGTTATGTATATTATTAGATTTATAGGTAGAAAAGCCACCGGCAGCATGTATATAAGTAGCTGTATGGAGAAAGAAGCCACTGGTATTAGTCTATATGCAGAGAGACAACTGCTTCCCTACAGAGAGCAAGGATCCCACTCTGCAGCTGCTGGCAAGGGACTGGCTTTTCTACTCAGGATGTGGCTGCTTTAGAAATAAAATTAACTATGGGACAATGAGCACCTTTTGTTTGATGCACTAAGAATGTAGTTAGCAGATTTAAAGTGATGGTTCGGTCGGGCTTTAAAGAAACTCTGAAATAAGAATTGTTATTGATCTTAATACTATGAGAGCTGGCATGCATTGAGAGCTATGTTCAGACTAGGGGCCAGTGTCGGGAGGATTTGCTGGACAAATGCAGCCTGCTTTTGACATCAGTTTGAGATGCTTCTGAGAGCATTCAAAATTCATTGCAGGTACAGTTGACCTGCTTCAGCTGTTTTTGCACTACCAGACTTGTACCAGAATAGAAGCAGTTCTGAAGGGGATAAAAGCCCGTAGACACATTATTAGGCCCTTATGTGTAATTATGTGCACAGATTTACTCATTTGTAGAAAACAAATGTTTAAAGCGATATGCTTGTTTGTACAGGGCAGTTCCATATATGCAGACTCCGAACATTCCAGCAGTATAAGGAAGACGTCCATTATACGTACTTCACATCCTTTTGCAAAAATGGCGGACTCAGACGTACGTACAATTTATTAATGACTGTCCTAAAAAAATGTACCATGTGAACCATTTGGGTTCTCTTTACTCATCTGCAGGTTTCTCCTCAATCCAGTTAGATTGTCTCTGGAAAGATATGTGAGAATCTTAACTCCTTTCCACAATTTGTAAGTAGTAGGGCTATCCATAGGTCTCATATACACACACCATTCAGATTGTATGAGAGAAATATGTATAGCTAGAATTTACAAGGCATTTGTTTTTTGTATGCTTCGAGCAGCTTTCTTGAAGTCTTTAAGCACCTTTCATCTCCAGTTTGGGGATGTTAAATGCAGATCATAATGGAAGTGCTCCAAGTAAATTTAATGAAGTTGCTATGATTAATGTTTAACATCCCAAAATGGGAAAAAGGGTTCTTTAAAGGCCTCAAAAAAGCTGTTTAAAGCTTACTAATAGCATCTCAATTGCCATGTAAATTACTAATAGTTTTCTTTCATTCTGCCTGTGAGCTGAGCATAAAAAGGAAGGACTGTGGACTGGCAGGATCACCAAGTATTTATTCTATGAATGAATAGGTGTTAAAAAAAATTAAAGGAACCATTCAGTTTATTATTTGCACAACATTTAAATACTGATTTCTAGTGCTTGCCTGTTTTTAATGAGGGACATATAGGAGCTCAGCTATGAGGAAAGATTCAATGAACTGATTTTATTCTCACTTAAGAAGAGGCATTTGGAGGATGGGTGTAATCAACTTTTATAAATACATAAATGGACCATTTTATTTGTGTGTTTTTGAATGTCTGTTTCAAGTGTATTCAGACTTGAGGACTTTTGTTTTAGCCAATGGGAGGCAAAGGTGGTTTAGCCTTGAAAACCGCTTATTTTCAGGCATCTTTAGGTACTTCCATTGAAGTCTATGGGGCCAAAAACACCCCATTCTGCTTCAAAAAGAAGCTTGCTATATGCTGAGTTTTGGGTAACAGGAAGACATTAGTAAAGGTCCTGCTGTGACCCTAAACAGAAATATGGCAAAAAAAGGTTGTGCCATAGTTCTCTTTTAAAGATGCCCATAGACCTACAAAGGATGTTGGAGTTGAATGCACAATCCAACACCCCACAACCACCTTCCTACCCCCAGGCATCAGGGATCTGGTAGTGAGTTTACAAACAGGAATAATGTGCTTGACCAAATGGAAAGCAGTGATCCCTCTGACAGCAACCCACTAGGTCAGTCACTCTTTTTGTGGCTATGGGTGCCTTAAGAGACAGACTAATTAAATAATTCAACAATCCTTTTGTTTATCTTTTAGGAACCAATGGAGGTGACTTTAAGCACCGAAGTGGAGCCCAATGCTAAAGACTTCACTATAGTTGGAGGTGGCACTGAAAGCATAATCGTCTCACAAGTCACAAATCAAATTCCACAATCAAATATCTTCTGTATTAAAGAAGGTAACACTATTTCACTTCCTCTAATAGACAAGAATTTTGTTAGTTAAAAAAAACAAAAAACTCATATGGTTATTTTCAACACCCTGCAGGAGATCAGCTACTAAGTGCGACAATCTATTTTGACAACATCACATATGAAGATGCCATTAAGATCCTTCAGCATTCTGAGTCATGCAGAGTGGAGTTCCTGCTGAAGCGCAAACTGGGAAAAGAGGACAGAGAGAAAATGCAGTCTATTGTGCAACTCAAGAAAGAAAAGACTTCACAGGTACAATCCTCTCTGTAGCAATCAGTGTCTCATTTAGTAAAGATGTAGACTACTACCATATACACATGCATTCATTTAAAGGGGACTGCCACCCAAAAGTAAACTTTTCACTTTGGATGGTGAATAAAATGGCAAGACTAAGTATAAAATCAAACCTTGTTGGCTCCCGCATCTGTATCTAAAATCCCTCCAGTTATCATCTTCCTTCATTACTCTTCATGCTCATGTCTGAATTAGGTGTTGCTAACATTATGCAGGAATGCAATTGTTTTTTTTAGAGTTATAGGCCCCCTTCCTACTGTATTAAAAGCACTACTTATCGAGCATTAATCACAAACATGGCCCTCCTAACGCTATTGTATTGTAATTGTACTGTCTCCCCCATTTTGTAAAGCCCTGCACAATCTGTTGGCGCTATATAAATCCTGTATTATAATAATAATCTTCTCCATGCTCCAGCACTGTTCCACACTTCTTCCTCTGTCCAATGTTCCATGTCTCTTCTTATGAGCCTATGTTGTCATCACATGTCTTGCCTGAAGAAGGGGATCCTGTGTGACCCCGAAATGTTGCATTTGGGATATGCTCCACTTTCCTCAATAAAAGACGCGCAATTCAACATTTGGAGTGCCGGTGCCCCATTTTTGCTTTGTGTATGTAATTGCGCCATCTGTTGGACACCACAGCACCAGTGATTTCAGGACATAGCTGTCAGGAGTGCCATGGGTTCATGGACTCCCTAGGAGTGCATCATCTCACAGCCTGAGTTTACAGTACTCCACAGTCCAGGAAGAAGGACTGCCCACCAGACCGGCCAAAAAAAAAATTCAGGAAGAAAAGTATAGGTTTAAAAAAAAAAAAGAAAGATCTGAGGGGGGATTCAGGGAGAGGGGGGTTGTGGCAGAATTTACACTGTTGTTATGTAATATTCCTACACATAAGCTGGCAAGGCTGTCAGGTGCACAATTCTAACACAAGAATGTCATGGCATTCTATTGCAGGGGTTGGCAACCCTGGCACTCTAGCTGAGGTAAAAATACAAATCCCATCATGTCTGTGCCTCTGGGAGTCATGCTGTGGCTGTCAGTCTTGCAGTGCCTCATGAGAATTGTAGTTTCATAACAGCTGGAGTGCCGAGGTTGCCTAACCCTGTTCTGGTAAGAGTACCACTTAAGCTGCAAACAATTATATATTTTTTTGCCAAAAATATGTATTGGATTACTCCAACTACAAATATTTGACTTTACAATTCTCCACATGGATCCCAGCAATAATATATTGGGTGTGTAATCATTCAAATGCTCGTATCAGATTTCAAAAAAGGCGATAAATAAAGTCATCCAAATCCACTCCTTCTTCTCTTGTAGCTACCCTGAGTGTAGTGTAGCGACACTGCCTAGAAAGCAAACATAATACACAATATCATAATGCATATCATCCTCTATTATGTTTTTTAATGGTTTTCATTTTTTTTTAAAATGGGGGATAGTTCTACCCTAATATCTATATCTACTCCTTTACAAATAATCTGTAAGTATTATTATTTCTGCTTAAATTATATGAGATGTATAAACACATCCTTGTGTGAAAAATGTGAAAAGGGTCATTGTGAAACAGGACATCTTGCATATATATGTAATAAACACATATGTCTTTAAAATGACTGTAACCTTATAATAGTGATTCTGATCTTTTGCCTGTTAGGATAAGGATGACTCTACCATAGCATCTGAAAAGACAGAAGAAAACACAGTCCGAAGAAGAGAACATAAGAAGAAACGTTCAAAGAAAGACAGGCTTTCCTGGCCTAAATTTCAGTCCCTGGCCAATACAAGGTTTTTAGGCCATCGCCGATCTCGAAGTACCTCAGAGACCAATGAAGACGAAACTCTAGAAATTTCTTCAAAGGTGACAGAGGCTAACTTGGATGATGATGAACTATTTGTCACGGAGAAAGAAAAGCAATATGGCCAAGAGTTTTCAGGACTAGATATTCACAGTGGGACAACAACATTCAACCAACAGATGACTGGAGTGAAAAACAGAGAAGAACCTCATGATAGATCAAAAGAGAAGAGAAGCTTGGACAGCAGTGTACGTGTTAGAGTAGAACACCACGACCTTCCAAAAACACAGATGAAGAAAGGCTTATCGTTACACTCCACAATCTCTTCCTCTAGCAGAGAAACAGGCAGTTTGGAAAGGAAGAATTTACATCCAGATGTTGAAATCATAATTGTAAAAGAAAAAAATCTACCATCTCCCTGCAAGGTGTCACCAATCCAAAGGAGATATGAAAGAACATCTAGGGAAAACATTGCAGCAGCTGCAACTGAAATACCAGTTACTCACTTAACAACAAAAGAAGACTTTCCACAAGCTACTGAGACAAGCGAAGGCCAGCTTGAGATTTCTGATGACGATTCAAGCCCGACCACAGAAGAACCTTCAGGAATTAAACAGAGAAGGAACAAAAAGAAGAAAAAGTTGGGGAAATCTACAGAGCTTCTTCAACAACAGAAAAGAACTCGTGAAAGCTCATTTAGCATAGGTATGGACAAAGAACATTACAAAGATACCTATGAAACCCAGTTCAAGACAGAGAAATTAGAAAATGTAAGTACTGATTTTACTCTTTTGCAAAAATCTGAACATAGAGATGTTTTGGTTGATAAAAACTCAGTTGCTATTGGTGTCAAAGAATTGCCGGATGGCTCTGACATTAATCTTCAACTACCCATTTTCAAAGGGCCCTCCTTTGTAGTCTCACAGCAGGAAGAATCTAATCTTACATACATAGAGTCTTCTATCAAAGAAAAACCCCCTGACCAACAGTCTGAGGTGTTAGGTTGGAAGCTGCAAATGCCTATTATAAAAATGCCAAAGCTGCCCAAACTTTACAGAAAATCAGTTAGATCTGAAAGTGAAGAACCGTTAGATCCTGCAAATGTGTACATGTATAAAAAAGATTCATCTGTAGATATTCATGGTCAGATAGCTCCACACGCAAATGTAAATGAAGATCAATCTGTAGACATAAAAGGTCACAAAGTTGGAATCAGGAAACTGAGATCAAAAATGTCTGTTCCAACAGTGGAGGGACAGTTTGAAGTAGATGAATCAATCCCATTTTCTGTACAAATGGGTTCAAGAAAAGATAAAACTGTTAGTACTAATGCAGAGCAAAATGTCTTAGTTACTCATGCAAATGTATTAACTGTTGAAAAGCTCAATATTCCAACAGCAAATCTCCAAAAAGGAGATTTAGATACACATAAACCCGAAGCATTGGATGATTTTGTACAAAAATCAGCCGTAGATATATCTTCAAAGCTAATTTTGTCTGCAGATGAATTGACTGAAGTTCAGGACAAGGACGGTATAGATGTAGTTTTAGAATATAAAATAAAAGATGCTGAAGATGAACACAAGGAAAGCCATCTAAGAATGCCCAGATTTAAACTTCCTTCTTTTGGTTCACTTACAAAAAGAGCAAGCTATAATACAGATGGTAAGATGGAAGTCAAAGAAGATCACTGGGACATCAAAGATGAAGATAGTAAGTTAAAAATCCTAGATGTCAAAGATTCTGACTATAAAGACATACATACTGACAACATACAAACTATAGAGAATAAAACAAAAATTAAGTTACCAAAAGTTGGCGTTTCCCTTCCAAAACGTAGAGGGCACAGGGGACACTATACTGTAGGCACACATATACAATATGCAAATAATGAGTTAGAATATGAAAAATTTCAAATAACAACAGAGGATTTTGAAAGAGAAAGTAAGAGAAATATTTTGGATACAGATGAACAAGATATATCAAAGGATATTGCTACTGATATAACAAATGTGCAAACAGAGAAAGGTAAGATCACGTTGCCTTATTTCCATATGCCAAAGCTAGGGCTGGCAAAATTAGGTGATGCAGATCTTGAAGAAACTAACAACATTATTTCAGATACAACAGAAAATGTAGGTTATGATGACATTTCAGAAATTCCAGCTGTGGATACTTTTCCTGAGGAACCAAGAGGAAACAAAGATTCAAAGAACTGGAAAATCCAAATGCCTTTTATAAAAATTCCAAAGTTGGGTACATCTGAAAAAATGACAGTGGACACGTCAACCAGAGATCAAGTTCCAGATGGAATCGATGGCAAAGAAGTGGCCACAGAGACAAATGTAAGCAGTGAAATAAGTGACGTTACACAAAAGGTAGATGGACATTTTAAAATTCCCATTTTTAAAATACCACCTTTCAGTCTGACTGGACCAAAAACAAAAGGGAGTCAATATGAACCAAAAGAAGACAATACAGCAGAAGTTGAAATTTCAAGCACAAACAAAGCAGCTTCTGACTCCCGGGAGTTTCCAGAGTCAGACACACAGGAAGTGAGCAAAAAGACTGAACTAACATCTGAAGACAGTGATATAGAAAAGTATGGCAGCCCATTCAAACTGCCATCTGTAAAACTACCATCATTCAGTATGAGTGGTCTAAGGGGCAGACTAAGTCGTGATGAAACGGACATGGAAAAGTTGCATCCTGTGCTAGAACAGACTGACAATGACAACAATCTGAAAGACTTAAAAATAACAAAGAGCAAAAAGAAGAAGAAGATAAAAACCAAGAAAGGGAAAGATGATTCCCAGATAGAAAATCAGGAGGATTCTGACACTAAAACAGAGAACCAGTCCATTCCTACATCAGCGGGTTTAGATGAGACACTGGATAAAGAAAAATCTGGGTTTCATTTAATAAAGAAGCAACATGTAAAAGCTAAGATGCCAAAGCTAGAGCTATATGAATTATATACAACAGAGGAGAAGCCTGATTTGAAAGATATTGATGACATACCAACTTTAAAATTAGACAGCGACTTAAAAGATGAGGCAGTCAAAGCGGACAACAGGGAAACAAGGGAATTTAAAGAAAAAATATTAACAACATACATTAGTGCAGATTTACCTGAAATTCAGGATAGGAACATTTATAGTGATAATATAGACATAAAGCAAAAAAAAATTGAAGTAAAAACACTTGTTGGGCAGCCGGAGAATGAGACAAAGACTATTTCTATTGAGCAGAACCCTAAAACAACTAAAACTACAAAGTCTAAAAAGAAGTCTAGAAAAGTTTCCCATTCAAAGAAATCTGACATTCAAATGGCTAAAAAGCAAGAGGAAACTGACAGTTCTGGAGAAACGCAGTCTGATGATGTCATAGTAGGTGACTCACCAGATGAAGATAGGAGTGTCACTGAAGAAGAATACAAATATTCTGAGGGATCTAAAAGCAAAGGATATCTTGCCAAAATCAAAATGCCTAAACTGGAACTTGTAAGAACTTCCAAAAAATCTAAACAAGCTGTGAAACATCCTGAAGGCGTAGATGTGGAACAAACAAAAGAAGTGCCAGAACCTGCCTATGGTCACATTCTTGACCCTCAAAAATTTGAAGATTTATTCATGGAAGCTATAATTGACTTAACTGACAGTAAAGATTATCATGCAACTGGAGATGAAAACACCGAAGAATTTTCAAATAAAATAGAATTTCCAAATTATCAGATGCAGACAATCAGTTTGAAAACCATTGAAAACACAGAGGAACAAACTGGCAGAATTTTTGATCAAGAAAAACAGATGATTTACTCCTCATCATTAGATGCAAGTGGAGAAACCAGTGGTGACCAAGAAACTTTGCAGATGGATTTCACACAAGATTACGCTGAGAAAAAAGATAAAACATCTACTATTTGGAAATTTCAATTACCTTCAATTAAAAGACCTACTTTTGGGAGGAAAGGGGATAAAAACAAAATGGGGGAAACATTAACGGACATTTCACTTGAGACAAGCAAAGCAGGCACATCATTTCAAAAAACTTATGATAATATTTTGATATCAAAGAAAATTAAAAGCAAAGAAAGCTCAGAAGAGTTAGAAGATATGACTCTTGCATTCCAGAAACATATGACACAAGCTGACTATCCAACTACAGATGATAATGTACTAATAGAAGAACATAAAACTGGGAAGAAGACCCATATGCCAAAAATGAAACTTCCAAAGTTGGAATTTTCTACTGTGTTCACTAAGGAATCTAAAGCAAAAATGTCGATAAATACTATACAAGACAATGCAGTAAATGAAGGTCAAAACTCAGACTTAACAATGGTAGGCCTGTGTATGGAAAAAGAGGAAACTGAACATGGTGCATCTGAACACATGTTTCCACCAATTGATGCTGGTGTGGTTAATACTAAGACTACTTTGATAACCACAGAAACAGCAAAAGAAGGGCAGCATGTGGAGACTGTTTTATCAAATGCAAAAGACAGCACAAAACAAGCCGTTGGAGAGATGAATAATGTAATTTCAAGTCTGTCAGCATTCACTGACTTTGAAAACGGAGAGCTAGCAAGAGAAACTAATTTAGTAGAGAAAACAGATCAAACTAAGAGTGTATTTTTGAAATCAACAAAGGAAGTTACTTATGGTGAAAAAATAAAAAGTAGGATAAAGACACATGATACAGAGAGGGGCTATTATCTAACCATGGCAGAAAATGATCTAAAAGCTGAAAAAATAAAAAATGAAAAAGTATGTCCTCAAATCCAACTAACAGTGACGACTTCTGAAAAAGAAGGGCTATCCAGGCTTGAAACTACAACAGTACATGATAAAACGGAAGAAGTTATCCCAGATGGATCAATCAAAGTGATATCTGCAGTGGTAGAGGAGGAGGAAGTATCATCTGGATTGAAGTTGGCCACATTGAAATTTCCACTCTTTAGTGCCGCAGAAGTTACCACAGAATCTTCTGTGGATGAGCCCAGAGAAGCAGCTCCAGAAACCATTGCTGAAACAACACTTGAGAAATCCAGAAAAGAAATGTCAACTGTAAAACCCGAAAAAACAGCATATGAAGCAGATAAAGAAGAACCCAAAGATAAAGTAGACATGGCTGATAAAGAAGCAGAGATTTCTCTTTCCGAAGGTAAAGTGAAAACTCCCGAAGCAGAAAAAGAATCAGAAGGCTGGAAGCTTCCATCCTTCAGGCTGCCAACATTTTCCTTATTTGGCACATCAGAATTGAAAGCAGAAGATGCATCAAAAGAAATATCTACAGAACCTGCAAGAAAGACAACAACTGAGACAGAGGTAGTCACAGAGGCTAGAACCACTATTAGTGATACCAGTGAAACAGCCAAATCCTTACCAAAGTCAGAAGAACGTGTGCAAATCACCAAAACAATAGTGGAGAGCGTAGTGGTGGAGGGCCAAGACAGAAGCATAGAAGAAATGGAAAGTGCTTGGAAAGTTTCACTATCATCATTCCAAATTCCAGTCCTGAGTAAAGAAGAACAAATCCTGAGTATTTCTTCCAAAACAATCTCTTTCATGGATGACATTGACAGGCGTGAGATAGTCACAGACATTCTTACAGCAGAGGGCAAGGAGGAGGTGGAGCTCATGCATTTGGAATCTGCATTGGAAGCACCCTCAACTGAAGAAGCCAAATCTGACATAACGGGAGTAGTTGTGGAAAAAGCAT